TCACAGTCCTCGGGGGAGGACTTGTCCTGGAGGAGGTGGGAATGGAGGGTGGGCTGGGGGTAAGGGGAGGGCGTGGGAGGGGGGAGAATAGGGGAACCCATATGGCTGATATGTAGAACTGAATGGTATTGTAAAATAAAAAATATATATCACAAAATAAATAAATAAATAAATAAATAAATTTACATCTGAAAGAAAAAAAAAATGCCCAGTAGAATGGGATGTTTCCATGAGATAAACACACTACATTACAGGCAGTGGGGATCTCCCCACACCCATGCACACCACGCCTGATACTAGAGAAAGATGGCAGCAGCAAACATGTAAAGGCACAGGAGAAGCAAAAGACATTCTGGAGTCTGTTAGTTGTCTCGTGGCTTTGCCTACTGGAGATTCACCAATCTGGAATTCGCCTCCTGGTGGCTGACACCTTGAACATCCATTGCCACCTGCTATTCCTCTGACATGATTACCGGTACTTCTCACTCTTCTCTTTTGGGGAATATAAGCAAGGTATTTCTTAGACATGCCAATCTGTCCACCCAGAGGTCTAGTTTGAGCTGGACATAGGAAGCTTCTCAGTGGCTCCAACTTATCACCTCCCTATGTCAAGTTCTAGACAGGAAGTCCCCATTGGGACCCTCCATTTGAGGGTGTGTAATTTGCAGTTCATCATATTCTTCATTGTTTTATTCACTGTAGCCTCAATGTTAGTAGACATTGTTCTTTATTACCTCATAATTTCAGGGGGATGAAGAGTTCTAACCTCTTCAGGAAATCCTTGAAGTGAAATGTTTCTCATAGGCTGATGCATACGTCTTGTTGGACATAACTGTGGGTGCGTATAACTGTGGATGTACAAGAAACATTGAAGTTTCACATACTATATCATTTTAGATATGACCATCTGTGTGGCCTGAAAGGATTCCCAGTGCCTGCCACCTGGATAAGAACATTGTTTTCTTTTGGAATGTCTTGTTTCTTCCTTACAAAGTATATTTTTCAAGGACTCACTGTACATCCTCTCTCATTGGTGGCTGACTCCTTTTTTGCAGGGAGGAAGATGAATACTCAGAACTGCGGTCAGAGCTCAGTCAGAGTCAACAAGAGGTCAACGAGGACTCCAGAAGCATGGACCAAGACCAGACCTCCGTGTCCATCCCTGAAAACCAGTCGACTATGGTCACTGCTGACATGGGTGAGTCTTCCCAGGCCTCCTGCCAAGCAGGATTTTGGCTTCTGGGTTGTAAAAAGAATCTTAGAAACACAAGGCAGCCTGATTTAAAATTTAATTATTCAAGGAGTTTGGTGAGTGGATGAAAACACATTCGTTTTAATCCTTTGTTGACTACCCTATTGGCCACAATGAACTAGAGAGCTGAGTTAGCATTCTTCTTTGACAGGAATATGATTCAAATGTGTGTCACTCCTGTTTGAAAATTCTAGGAGCAGGAAACTGTGTTAAAAGACTGTTGCGGTGTTCCTAGTTACTGTTCCTTCAGAGCTGGAGAGTGGGAGTAGAAAGGATGGAATGGGTGGCAGAGCTTTCCAGTAGAAGAAGCCAAGAGGGTTTTAGCAATTGTGATGTAAGTAGGAGGAATCTAAAATGTCTTCAGCACATTGATCCAAATGACTAAGAGGATGATTGTATTTCTTGGTGAGAAGTTTGATTGAGAAACAAATTGGGAAATAGTTAATATTATGTTTGAACTAGTAGAGAAATAGCTGAATGGAAATATCTGATGCACAGTATTTTAAACTGCAGGTCATGGCCTATTATTGGGTTTTGGAATTAGATTCTAATGCCTTTTAGAAATGGAAGTAGGAAAGCAGTAGGGTGATATTGTTGTTTTATGAACTTTGTTTATTCCTGCCAAATAGCATGAAAGTCAGAGTTGAAATGTTGTAAACCATTGGTTTGCTTTGGAATGCCTGTTGGATTCTTGAGACAGACTGAAGTTGAGTATTTGAAGTTGTCTGAGCCAAAGTGAGCTCTGTGATTCAATGGGTGTGAAGTCAGAAGAGTGTAACATTCCATGTCTTTGGAGACAGATGTTCACGGGTAGTGAAGAGTTGGAGGAAGAGCCAGGAGAAGGATGAGAAGTAAATTGAGTTTTCATGGAACTAGAAATTGAGTTGGAAAGCAATTGATTTTTTTTAATTGACTGTTGTACATATGTTTAATTATACATCCATATAAGTGCTATAACATCATGAATCATGGTGAGAATACCAAAGAAACTTGATTTAGTCAAAGTTCTAGGAAGTCCTTGTTCTAGGAAGTAGCATGTGAACTATGACCCAGAGAATCTGGGTCAATTAAGCGGGTTAAAGAGGAAGTGAGGGTGTTTAATGAGGAAGAAGGTGAAGAATTGTTGTAATGTGAAGATGAAGACTGGAGAGGTAGGGAGGAGCCAGGTTATTCTGAGTCTTATAGAACATGTTCAAATCTTTACTCAAAAGAATAAGAAGCTGCTAAAAGATTTAACAGTGTGGGGATACATGAGATGATCAATTGCATTGTAAATCGCTCCATAGTATGGAAAGCAAATCCATAGATCAAGAGTGTGTTGGAGAAACTAGTCAAGAAATCATTAGAAAGGCAGGCCTGTGAGTTTGAGGGCAGCCTGAGCTACAGAGCGAGTTCCAGAAAGGGCTCCAAAAGTACACAGAGAAACCCTGTCTCAAAAAAAACCAAAACCAGACCAAACCAAACCAAACAAGTAAAAAGAAACCATTAGGAAAGTCTAGGCAAGCCAAATTGTTGCTAGGAATTATATACTGACAGTTGAGATGTAAAAAAGAAGATGGGTATAGAAAAGATAAGAATTAGGAAAAAATTGCTCAAGAACTGTGTCTTAGGGTTTCTATTGCTGTGAAGAGATACTATGACCACAGCAATTCTTACAAAGGAAAACATTTAATTCGGTGGTATACAGTTCAGAGGCTCAGTCCATTATCATCATGGAAGGACCTGGTGGTGTGCCAGTAGCCATGGAACTGGAAAAGTAGCGAAGTGTCCTACATTTTGGCTTGCAGGCAACAGGAAGTGAACCAACTGGGTGTGGCTTGAGCATATATGAGACCTCAAAGCCCACCTCCACAGTGACATACTTCCTCCAACAAGACCACACCTACTCCAACAAGGACACACCTCCTAATAGTGCCACTCCCTTTGGGGACCATTTTCTTTCAGTCTACCACAAACTAGAAGTGGGATAAAAACAGAGATATAAATGTGGATGTCTCCTAAGATTCTGGTGCGCACAGTGCGTTGGCGGTGAAGCCATTCATCAATGTTGGAACATGATGGGAAGGACCAAGTGACTTATTCTTAGATTTTTTTTTTCTATTTTGCAGTAGGAAATGATAGAGACAGGTGGAGATCATTTGCCTTTTGTTGGGCATGAATTGGAGGTATCTTGAGATGCCCGAGTTAGAGATACTTAAGAATACAGTAGATATTGAGATTAAGAAGTCAAGCAGAGTGTCTGGGATGCAGAAAACTTGTAAGGAGACATCAAGTTGTGACCAACACAGCAGAAGTTGATGTTTACATAAGTCAAGTCAGCTGGAGCCTGAGCCTTTGGGGCCCCAGCTGCCAGCATCACTCAGCAGGAGGCTGAGGCAGGGGTGCTCCTTTCCATTAGTTTCAGGGTAAATGAACCTTCTCAGAAAACCTCAGAGGGTATGAGTGCCTGTGCTGACTTTGTTGATGTAGTGTTTTTTTTTTTTTTTCCTTCTTAGAGAATATTGAAATCATAGATCTCGCCTGACTATCCCACTAAACTCTGTTAGGCAGTTGTATGGTGTTTCATCTCCTAGTCTAGGGCCTGGCTTGTGGGCACGTGTTAAAAGATCCTATTGGAATGAATGATGAAGCCATTGGCCTGTCTGTCAAAGATGTTGGTAAGGTGTATCGTGGAGTTAAGATCTAATGTGGAATTAGTGGTCAGCAGTCTGAAATGATGAGAAGGCCACATAAGACGGATTTAGCTGCATCAGTCATGTAGAGGTGTTCTCTAAATGAGACAAGATACACAACAATGTGCACAAGAATGACAAGACTGCTTCAGGCTTAGTCGTTGGAAGGTAAAGTCTGAAGTCTGGGTTCAGGTCTTTGCTTTGCGCTCAGGCTGTCTCCTGCAAATACATCTGAATCCAAGGACCAGACTTGACGTTGTAACACACACAGCCATCTGCTACCGGCCAGCCCTTCGGCAAAAGTCTCACATCACTAAGTGCATATCAGCATTGCAATTGTCTAGACTCAGCAGCCTCTTATTCTGCACTCCCACTCCAGCCATAGGCAGCCAAACAAATTCAGACAGCCAACGGTGTCTCTGTAACTGCAGAGGACCAGCCCTGCACTCACCCCTACATTTGTTTCTCTCAAATTGTATTTTATGAAATTAATAGATGACCCATCGTCTGACAAAGTCACATAATTAAGTTTGGGAAATGCAGGCACAAACCTCCTTCAGTGGGCTTCCCTCCTGGGGGACGTCTCAGAGCGCCTGACATGACATAGCATCTGTCGTACTGATTCCCCAAGGTAGGAGTTCGCAGCTGTCTGTCTGCACGGTGAGGCATCTCCATTTTCCCTCATCATTCATCTCAAATTCTTTCTTCATCCTGTACCTCACTTGGACATGTATGTTAATTGTGCCGGCAGAGTCGTTCCTGGCAGTACCCAGCTCTGAAGGGGCATGGCCTCCGCCAATGTCAGCATGCCTTCTCTGCTTACCCAGAGGGGTCTTTAGTCATCTTACAAACTCACTGTGTGCTCTCTTAGGTCCTGGGGCTGAAAGGCAGGTTCTGCCATGAGATGGCTGCACTCCCACATTCAGATCTCTTAAACCTGGGCTGACATCCAGACTCCTCACCATGGGGGTTCCCTGGTACCTGGAACTCCTACAATCACACTCCTTCTCTACTCTCAGTTTGTCTCCCATCCCTGATCACAATCCCCGTCTCTTCCAGTTCCTCCAACCTGACCAGATCCTGTCGTCCAGGGTGTGTATGCGCTGTCTCTTCTCCTGGAGTGCTCCTGGCTACCACACACACGCAGCTTCCTCCTTTATTCTGGTTCCCCTCTGAGTCTGCAGCATTACTCCTCATGTCGCCCCCTTGCTAGCACCTGGCACTGTCTGGGGAAAGGCTGTTCGCTTTTATTCCCTTGCATATTGCCAGTCGTTGTCTCACACAAGAATGCAGGTCTCACACAATAGCATAGGCACTTTTGATGACCTTGTATGCTAATCTAATGATGCCCAAGGACACATCAAATATCGGAGTAGCAATGAACACAATCCATTGTCACGTGTCTTAGGAGGATGTGGATGGTTCGAGAGAAGAGACCCACAGTGGGGTCAGGACCTCCAAGGTGGGGGGCCTGCAAGAAAACTTCCCAGAAGCCACGGCTGAGTGGATACTTGAGGATTGAATGGGAGTGGTGAGGTTAAGGAGGCGTCAGGTATGAGAGGGTTCTCTTTTGGGTCCTCGAAGAAGGCAGGCACTTACGGGACAACTTGGCAGAGCTCATTAAACTGCAGCACAGAGTATAGTCAGCCTGTTTGTTGATTGAAACTGGCTGCCTGCCTCTTATTCCTTTGCCATTTTCCAATTAAATTGCTTCAATAGGGTAAAAAGCTTCCATATATAAACACCATTATAGGAAATCATTAAAAAGCATCCATTTCATTATGGTTTCTATATTTGTGAACCTGCATTAGGAACCCAGAGGTTTCTTAAGCTGGGTTTTAGATGCACTTTGCTGCAGGGTTCTTTCTTTCTTTCTTTCTTTCTTCCTTCCTTCCTTCCTTCCTTCCTTTCTTTCTTTCTTTCTTTTTCTTTTTTTTTTTTGGCTAGTTTACAAAAACAATAACAGTAAGTCTTATGTTTACCCTGTCCAAAATCCCCTTTTTTCCTTTCCTTTCCTTTCCTTTCCTTTCCTTTCCTTTCCTTTCCTTTCCTTTCCTTTCCCTTCCCTTCCCTTCCCTTCCCTTCCCTTCCCT